CCCCAAAACCCCAAAACCCCAAAACCCCAAAACCCCAAAACCCCGCCATTCAGTACTCAAATTGAAGATTTATTAATCCTTTTTCATCTTCTTTAAAGGCTTATCTGACATGAATGCATACGAGGCCGAGAAGATGATAAATGCAATGGTCAACAAGTAGACAGCAGCGAAGTATGGATAGGCTCTAGCATCATAGGTAGGGAACTCATCGTGGTTGAACACTCTCACAGGAGTTATCTCATCATAGTAGACTCTGGTATATCCAGGAGAGAGATAATCAATCTTGAATTTATACACTCCATTATGATCTGGCACGTTAAACTTTACATTATAGTGAGCACCTTCGGTGTTTTGCATTGTCTCGATGTTGAAAGGGTTTAGCATAATGAATTCTAATACAACATCATCTGCTTTAAATGGGACCCATTCATTGTCAACCTTTTCATAAATATCAAAAGAAACTTGGATTTCATCTCTCAATTTATACTCTTGAATCTTTTGTCTTCCGGTTTCTACAAGAGAAGTATCAACCAAAGAGTGGTCGAAGTTTTCTAACTTCAGTACAGACTTGGCTTGGAAATTCCATTTCAGGGTTTCAAGGCAGAATTGATAATTGGGCGAAGTAGTCACATCTTCTCCAACCTGAGTTGCATTGATGAACTTGTCAGTGCATATTTCGATAGATGCACTGAGAACAGCTCTTTGGTTATATCTTGATTGGTAACCTGACACAAGGACAACATCTTCTCCTAAGAATTCTCTTTTTACTTCCTTTCCTCCAACATTTTTAGAAGGAAGTTTGGCTTTCAAACCATCATTTCCACTAAGAATTGGGAAAGAATAACTATTATCAGGATCAACTTTTATCCCTGAGCCTAAGAAAGCAACCTCAGAATCAACATTCACAATAGTGTTCTTAATAGCTTGATTTATCTGCTTTGTAGCGGTAAGTCCTTGATCTTCAAGGTCTTGAATCTTGACCTGACCAGCCTGTCCAGTAATTTCTGCTTTAGCTGGATATAATTGAGCTCCGAATTCTTTGAACATGTCTCTAGCAAAACCCTTTGCTTTAGTGCTTCCTGCGATGAACAAGTTTCTGCCTGAATCAAAGAACTGGAGTACATCGTCATTGGTAAATCCTTGATTTCTGAAACTAGATGCAGTAGAAGCCATGATCATCAGGTGATCATAATGGAAATCATCATTTGTTCTTCCGACTCTATCATCAAAAGTACCCTAGAGTGTTAGATAGGTGAAATTACCTCTTCAAGTCCTGGAGTCACTGGCTGGTCAAAGAATCTCAGTGAGATATCATCTTTACCTAAAAGATCATCAATATGGAAAATCTTACTTTTGGATTTCTCATCAAGAGCTCCGTTGAATACTTTATAAGTTGTTTCGAATAATTTGTCCATTTCTGCAAAAATTATTGAATTTTCTTCTTTCTGTTTAGCGCTTTGAAGCACAACTAGGAGTCTTGAGCGGCTATAAGGTTTGAATTAATTTCAGAATTGTATTTAAGGAGCTGTAGATATTGAAATCAGAACCGGAAATACAATGATTCTGAATTTCTTGCTAGCCTGGGCTAAGGAGAACCTTACCTGAAATCACCCTCGATAGTCCTGCCTACGACTCCTACTACTGAAGAGGAGAGGAGCATTACAGCGAGGAACAAATAGATATGTGAGAATCTTCCCATTTTCTAAATTAATTAATTCTATATTAACACTTGTGTATGGGGTTTTGGGGTTTTGGGGTTTTGGGGTTTTGGGG